GGGGTGGCTTTACGTTTGTTAATGGGAGAGAAACTCTTCTTTGCAGTGGAGTTTGACCTCGACTTATAAAAAGTTTATTTCTCCTGACCTACTGAGCCGAACGCTCCAAATGGGAGAAAATAAAATCCACTTCTATCGACGGAAATAGTTTGACAAGAATTGGTGGATTTTTGCTCCTAGATGAAAGTCTTTTAGCTTCAGCGGGTAAAAGTCAATAGGACTGAGGTTATGCTGGGTGAAAAATATGACATTTGATTTCTGCTTTATGATAAATCGACGAAAGACGAGGGGAAGTGAAGAAAATATATGACAAAGAACAGGAAATTTTGTCAGATCTACACGGAAAGACTGTGCAAGAGATTAAGAAATTGAATCCAAAAATAGAATATTCAGTAATCTTTTCAAAACCGTGCTGCGCGCGTTGACCTGCTGTGGGACTTCCCCACGGAGTCCCTGCGAATTTTTCGGGTCATCCCAAAACTAAGCCGATCTGGACGCTACCGGTCATGTTAATGGTTACGCCAAATAATGGTTAATCTCCGGGCCATACATCCACGACTGTCATAAAACTCATATATCGACACTAACCTGCTAACGTGTTCTTTTGTATTTGTCCGCGTAGATAGTGTTCGAAAGCCACTACAACGGCCCTACAACGGACCATTTCGAATCCTGTGGCACACTGACAAGCATGTCAAAATCGCCCGTTGCGATCACACTGAAGTGGCAACAATCAGTCGGTTGAAAGTGGACTACACCGACCCTCTTTCGCTCACCCGAACAGATCAGGCTTCTTAACCTGCCGCAATGCCTTCTTTGATTTATCCGCCCCAGTTTGTATCTGATAACTCCGTGTATTCCTCTCCCCACACGCGCGGTTGCCGTCGTGTCGGTTTCCATGATCATTACCGACTTGTACATTATGCCTTACAACTACCTAATTCAGTCTATTTTTCGAATGCGTAGTCTGTCCTACTGAGAGGCGGAGTGTTGTATTGACACGAGAAACCGCTTACGTTTAGTACGCCAAAAACGTGACCTGTAAAAGCTTTAGCACAATGTTCTGAAACAATTTATAATCACGTTGCATTCTCGCGACTGCTTTGTTTTCTCTAATCCTACTCGCGATAGATCGGTTTATTTCTTGCACTGCCGCCGCAATTTTGTAGGCGTGCGGCGGGAAATCTAGACCATTGGTGCAGCTTAAACCAAAGTTCTTGATGCTGAAACTTACATTAATAGGGTGGTCTTGAAAAAATAGTTGGCTAGGGTACCTTATCATGGCAAAACACATGCAGCAACATTTTGAAGGAGGGAATCCCATTATCAACGTTGAGCTCCGCGCAGAATCAGCAAGCAAATTAAAATACCTCTGTTCAAAGTCCAGTTAGCCCGTAGATTTAGAGAAAGAATTTGGGTATTTGAGTTTACTAGCGTATATAAAAGACAGAGTGTGGATTGCAGCTTCCCACCTTGGTAAGAAGTAAGATCTGACACTTTTCCCACATAATGTTGGCCAGGAATAAACGAAAGCGGCATAAGTTGACAAAGAAGATTGTTCTGGTTTTATAGTGCATTAAGGTCTACTTCGATTGCGTGATACCAAGTTTATGAATGATTAATCTTTACTCTAGCTTTGTTTACACTTCACCGTAGGGTTTCACCAGGTTTCCTAATGGAAACGTAAAGCAGAAGCTTATTCGTCATGGGATTTTTGTCTGATGTGTTTGAACAATAACGCCAAGAAATAAGATGTGATTTTCAAAAATAATATAATTGTAACAATTACAAGAAAAAGGCTCAAGTAGCATTAGCTCATGCAAATTTATGCTCTTCAGAGAATGCAGGGATGAGGTTATGCATGGCAAATAAACCTCGACAAAATACAAGTATGGCTAAGCTGAACACTAGTATTGTAACATATATCAGTTATGCTTAATAACGAAATACATTCTTCCACAAACACATGAATGGTTGACGAAAGAAAACAGCTCGAATCAAAATGTTACTTACGCACGAGGCAGCGCAGGGAGAAAAATTCCTATACTGTAGATTTATACCTGTTGAAAAATCGACTACGGCAATGGTAAATGGAGACGAGTCATGGTTAAAAATTGAACGACCCTACAAAAATACAACTGGCAATATATCCAAAATACCATCAAAGTCTAGTGAAATGAAGTTTAACGCACCACTGAAAGTCGAGCTGCGCGCGTGCCTTAACCTTGGCCTGCAGAGAAAGTCTCTTTGATGTTCATGCTCAAAGGTGCCTTCATTGCTAATCCGGCCTTCCGTGACTAACTTCATCGAACAGGTTGCTGACATTTTCTTCGCGGCGTACCATACCTGGCGAAAAGTCAGTCATCGGTGTCAATTTTCAACAGCCCGTGTACATTGACATCGGAACACCATGCAAACATCGTCCGATTTTATCTTTCGATAAGCGCTTACCCATAGCAGCTTGCAAACACCCAGTCTTTCAGGATACATTGAAAAGTGGTTAGCATTGATCAGCTCGGATGGGTTGGACTGAAGGCTCCCTCAGCGAATGAGGAGGAAACAACAACAACAAATACATATGTTTATGCATTTCCTATCAAACATAGAAAAATATTCTCTCTTATGCGTCTAAACACATGGTAGGGGAGAACTCAACGTAAATAGAAGTAAACAGTTCGTAAAAAAACACAAAAACATCCCAATAAAGTTCATTTTAAGCACATAGAATTAAACACGGAGAATCTGAGATTGGATCGTTGGAATAACACGTGATAACTGAAGAAGAGGCCGGTCGCTCGACATGTTTTACTGGGCTGAAATTTAGACAAAAGAAGTAAAATAACAGGGGATTAGTTAACTAACACACTTGCGGATAAAGTCTACTAGAACTTGCAACCCACAAACCAAAATGTAAGCGGACAAATAAAACGTTGATTAGTTTAAACAAACGGCAAAGAATAGCATGATAGAGAATCATAGAAAGATGGTAATCAGAGTGATAATGGGATAGCAAATTTCCAAGTTACTATCGTAAATACTGACCGTTTGCGTACAATTCACCAGTTCTATAGGTTAAATGATTGGCATATTCTCATCGTCATATCTAATCATCGCGTCTCGCATGAAAACGTTCGACCAATCAGTATTCAGCACTCTGAAACCCGTCCGCATATAGCGTTTTCTAATTACACCCTCAAGTGAAAACGTGCCAATAAGTTTGGAAAACGGTTTTGTCTAAGTTAACCTACGTAAAACTAAGTTTGTTTGTCATGCAATATTACATTGTAGCCTTGGAGACCCTAATCTATACCACGGACGGCGAGAGCATGCCCCCGCCGTCTACTTGGGGCTGAGAGCATGCATGCTCTGAGACCCTAATAACAACGAGTTCGAAGATGGAGTTCCACCTTCTTAGGGCCAACGCAGGGTCGCCCAGGTTGTGCTGCGGCTCATTCTCAGCCGCATTTACGGAGCCCTAGTCGTCTACTCAGTCAGAGGATTCGAATGTAACAGTAATTACTGCAGGAGCCTCTGGTTCTTTTGTCGCCCCTGAAAACTTTCGAACGCATCCCGTTGGAACAAACTAAAAGAGGCATGCTTTTTGATATTGTGATTTGAGTTTGTGTCACTGTAAACGTCATGAAACTTTTAGTTCCTACCACACGGCTGTGGGAGGTAGTAATTGCATTTCCACACCAAGCTACACTGCGCGCGCGGTCGTCACAAAGTGAACTATAGGCAAGACGCCTTACGGAAGCGAACGACTGCACAAGCTTTTTGTAAAAAAGCTTGATAATTGAAAATTAAAAGTATTGACATGCGCGCGTCTGGTGCCGTCCACTAGTCAAAATCACTAATCCATTTGCACACTTGCGTAAATTCACTGGACAATCAACCACTGTATGACATCGCACAATCATTGTAGGCTTGGGGAACTTAGTTTTTGTACTGGAGGATTCTAAACCCCAGAAGTCTCTTCGTAACTTCTCATAAAATAAATATGGTTTCTTTTTTTGGCTTTATCTCGAAAATCAGTACACTATAGTGTACTATAGTCATATACTGGAAGTCGGTCCGAGTGTTTGACCACAAAAGTGGGGCGCCTGTCTTATAGAAATTTTCAGATGCGAACATGAGATCAACATCAACTCCCGGTCGGTCATCCGTGCATAGGTTAAGGACTCTGTCTGAATGCCAGCGATTTTTCTTAATTCCCACGGCGATTAAACTACCCAGTTGGCGCATCAGCTTGCTGCAGAAAGTATACCAACCTTCATTGGAAGCTGGTTGTGAAATAAGCTGAATTGTGCCTGTTAGATTGGCATCTGGGAACCGGCAGCAGCAGGGGTACCAGCGAGCTAGGGTCTATCATACCGATGACCGCAAGATGATTTGACGGCGGCGAACCGCTCTTAAGTCGATTCACCCGTCATCGCCGCCTAGCGGTTGGGTTCCACCGAACCAAAGCGCTGTGAGCACTACCTGAATAAATAATCCGGGTGGCTTGCATGTAGCCAACTAGGTCAGGCACAATCAAAGCTTTATCATGCGGGGCAATATAATATTGCGTCGTATGTTGATATTTTAATTTGCCTTCTGGAAGCTCTAGCAGGTGTGTAGAATTCGAGGATAACGCAAAAAGCCAGGTCGAAATCAGTGTACGAAAGGAGGAAGAGTGAATACTGCACTCGGAACCCTTAGACCCAAGTCATTTCCATTATACTTGTTCTTGCTGTCATGTGTTTACTCATACATAATTAGGGATCACCCTTTGGCTGTCATGGCACAGCCTGTGAAGAACAGGCTTTTCCCGCAAATGTACTGTGGTAGGGAATGTCATCTAGTACAGAACTCACTTTCGCTCCCACTCATTAATATGTAACAGGTTTTTTTATTGCAGCCGTTCGGCACCGTAGAAGCTTGAACTTGCGAAAATGCAACTGCTGTAGAAGCCTGTCGCTTTTGCTTATTTCTCTGGGAGCTTCCGTCTACTTCGGTAAATGGCGACTAAGACGTCAAAAACCATCAGTTCTGATTGTGGAGATGACTCATTGGGTGAGTTGTTTAGTCACATTGTATGCACTTATGTTGCCTCAATTCATTTCCAATCATGCCTTCTAAATTACCCTGTGTTATTTGTTTACAGGTATGTTCTATAATGATCGCCTTCCATCAGAGTTGATTTTCTCTCAACTTTCCGGCTGCCAATGCACAGGTCCCTCCTGTAACCCTGATCAATGCGATTGCGTGAAGCGCCGTAACGGGAGCGTATTTGACAGCTCCTTTCGACTCTCCTGCCTTTTGGATTACAAGAACAGTCAACAACTCCAACCGGTCTTCGAGTGCAATAGTTGTTGTGCTTGTCAGCCTACCTGTTCTAATCGGCTGGTTCAGCACTTTGTTGGGCGCTTTCCGGCATTGAAAGTCGTTAATACAGGAAATGCTGACAAGGGCCTGGGTGTCATATGCGAGAAGGATCTTTCACCTGGTCAGTTTGTCTGCGTCTACATGGGAGAATATATTCTGCCGTCGGATGCCGGCCGGGTTTCTCGAGACCAGATTCGCTCTCTGGGCCACACATACGTTCTGTGTGTTCGAGAATTCGCAGGCCAGTCCCGGCTAGTAAGCGAGACAGTAGTCGACGGTGCTGCGGAGGCATTTTGCCCGATCTGCCCATATCTAGTTTCATAAATCACTCTTGTCAGCCAAATATGACCGTTATCCCTGTACGCGTGGATTCCATGCTACCATTTCTAGCATTTTTTGCCAATCAGCATATCACGGCAGGCGTTGAATTAACGTACGATTACGGAGAGTACTCGGCGTCTCCAGGCTGCCTTTCAAAGAAACCCTGTCAGTTTGGCGAATTGACGTGTCGTGGGTTCTTGCCCTGTGCTGAATGAACTTTATGTGATCGCTTAAATCTTCATTCCCAGTGATGTTGGTCAGCGCATGAGAGGTAAGGACTGCGATCGCCAACGGGTTTTAAAAGCTCGGCCCGAAATGAGGGTCGGCTGAGATGTGTCCGCGGGATCCGGGATTATCTATCCCTTTGAACCTCTGTTCTCTGATCCTATGTGTCCTTCTTACGCATTTACTGTTTACTCTGCATATACGTTATGTTGTTGGTGTACGCATTTGTGGTGTAATGCAAGCATTTCATGGAGATTAATGTTTTGATTGCTGTTCAAGTTCAGTGTTTGTACGTTTTCGATTATTCATCTTCAGGCCTGTACAGTAATTTAGCAAAATTAAGAGATCCAGGTTGATACTCTGAGGAAAATGAACTGTTCACCGGATCGAAAGACCTGTTCATCTGACGTTTCGAAGAGCTGGGGCGGCTCTCAATTATCAAAGTGTCTAGTGAAAAATCGATCAGAAATTTTGAATGGACAACCGGATTAGTTGGCCTTGGGCTGGTCGATTTTCATCTTTTGCTGCCTTGGCCTGCTGGCCGTCGCCTGGGAGTGTTGGTGGCCTCCTGTATTGTGTGTCGTCACCTCAATTGGGGTTAGTTGCGTTTGCGTCTCCCTTTTGGGTGAATTGGTCGACAGGCCGTGTTTGCTCGGTAGTCTTGGGCTCCGCATGACTGTCTTGTCTTCGTCACGGCGTATGTAGTGACGTAGGAATTTATAGGCCGAAGGAAGGTCTAGATGCCTGTTGATGGAGTTGGCATCTGAGTGCGAAGCCTTAAGTGTGAGACGCTCTGTCCTTGAGGTGCCCCTGCCTAAGACGGCTGCTCCATGAAAATAAAAACTGTGACCAGTTTCCCCTATGTGAGCCGAAAGCTGTAAGCTTGGGTCTGGTCTCCGAGTTGCCAGTTTGTGCTCATGTAGGCGGATCTGCAATTCCCGTCCGGTTTCCCCAACGTAGTTGCAGTCTCCATCGTTACAAGGTATTTGATAGACAACTGCTGAGGTTTCAGTGGATGGCAGTATGTCTTTGGGTTGCATCAAACGGTGACGAATTGTTGCCTGGGGTCAATGCGCAATGCCTACCGTGGCGGGTTGTGACAATCGTGAGGCCGCCACGGAGACTCCCTTAATGTAAGGAATAGCCCTCCAGACTTCGGGTTGTTCTTCTTGTGGCCGTCGTCTGTTGACTCGGCGCTTGCTTTACCTGATGAAGTAGCCTGGGTATCCATTGGTTCGAAAGAGGTCATGAAGGTATTGTCGTTCAACTCTTTTGTCGGCTGGTGTGCTGCAGTGTGTTTCAACTCTTTGGAATAGAGTACGGACACGGCTGCGTTTGTGAGACAGGGGGGGATTGCTGTTGAAGTTTAGTATTTGTCTTGTGTTGGTGGCTTTTCTGAAAACGGTAGTTTGCAATTGCCCAGTTGCAAACCGACGCACAAGGACATCGAGGAGGGGAAGTTGGTTGTTTGTTTCGGCTTCCATCCTGAATCGGATATTCGGGTCAACCGAGTTTAGTAATTCTTTAAGGCGCTCCACGTCATATGATTTGACAATGGCGAAGGTGCCATCGACGTAACGAGCCCAGAACTTTGGTTGATACTTGGTGAACACCAAGTGTTCTATCCGTTGAAGAACCACTTCAGGAATCAGCCCTGATATGGGGGAGTCCATGGGGGTGCCTTTGATTTGTTCATACATTTGTCCACCAAAGGTGAGATGTGTTTTTAGACGCTTTGACAATGGAGAGCCGCCCCAGCTCTTCGAAACGTTAGCCAAACAAGTCTTTCGATCTAGTGAGCAGTTCATTTGCCTCAGACTGTACAGTAATATAAGTAAGTTATGGTTGAGCAGCGACGGTTGAAACGACCAGTGAACATAGCCATGGGGGGTAGGCCACAGATGTACCCTCAGGTAGCGGTGGTTCTCAAATACTACGTACGACCTTCTTAACTGTGTCCTGACACCGAGCTCGTGTGGGGACGAAAGAGTACGATGGGTGGAGTCTAAATCTATTACCTCTAAAAGCCCAATCCACGCGCGAGTCACTGAACCTCCTTCACTTTGCTGTGAAGCACATGGTTGACATCGTCGGAAACGACGGTCGAACTATCAATTGTGGTGTATGTGTGGACGATGAGACTCCATAAAGTTTTATTGGTTCGCGTGCGTGGTGGTGGGGTTGCTTTCTCCATGATGTATGCACTAATGTTCTCTGCCAGATCCTACAGAGCGAGGATTTTCGCACACAACTACATAAGTTTTACTTGCGCTAGTATGACTGTACTCACTGTCCGAGTGATTCAACTCTGTCGAGGCAGGATGACTTCCCGGCCGCCCGGCATGTGCGCCTACCAGTCACACTCCGCTTGCATTCGAGTCACTTGGGGTTGTCAACCATAAGGCACCGTGCGTACGATTTGTGAATTTTCACTTATAGAACTTGTGTGAATACAATATTCAGGGTCACCCCAGTAAGTTCGTACGCATAAAACCCCGGTTTCAGCCACAATAGGGGCCTTATTTAATTTTACTAAGGACCCGCAGGGGAATACCTGACAAGTGTTCTGATCAGGCGCCTTAACTGTGACTTTATGGACTCCTGGAGCCCCTATCCACTAGCACAGACTGAATTCTGTAATAAAATCGGACAGGACGTTAGCTGATTTTTGGAAAGAGCGGCTCTGTTCCGGCCTGACTTTCTCATTTTGTCCACCCGGTTCATACGATGGCGGTAATAGTGCCTGGTTTGCGTGATTAGTCATCACATAGGCTGAGCACTGTGGCTGGATTGTCGGATGTACCGATTGCCAGATTATTGTTGGTTGGGGTCGTCGCTTCTATTGTTGCGCTCACCACATGAACCCAACCATGTCTTGAGTAGATTTGGCAGGGAAAAGACGGCGTTCCTTGTGCCACCATTACCCTTATTTGCGAATGTCTGTGATGATGGGTTCGAGCGAGAATCCGAAACGTCAGGCCAATAACTTTCTTGTTGCAGTGATCGCATCTTCTGGAAAACCTGGTATGTTCAAACGGGGGTCGGCGCACCGGTCGACTAAATTGGCATCTCAAGCCTCCCTTATCGTGGGTAGGTCCGTCTGGGAACAGCCTCGAGCTAGAAAGCTCACTTCGAAGGGTTTGAGGGTACGTCCAGTTTGTTCAGGATGCCTTGCCATGTGAGACTCAATCTTTGTGTCGTTTCCAGTTTCCACCCCTCAACAGTCCCATCATGAGAAGTACGTGATCAGCTTACACCTCGCAGCGTCGAATTGTGAAGGTCTATGCGTCACGCCCACCCTGGAAGACGGGTTGCCTGTTAGCCTAGCTGCTGGCTACCCTGCGCGTTCACAGGTGGCGGATAGTGGGACGACCTTCAGTGAAGGTTAGCTGCGAAATAAGCAGGCCCAGGACTGGGGCTTTATTGCTGACAACCCGACCAAATTCGTGCGCTGGCGTGAGCACGTTGAGCACCATCTCAATTTCGATACCCAACCTACCTCGCCCTTCCTCTCCTCTTCAGCAGAGTTTTTTCCCTCTCTTATCTATGTAGTGTCATGCGACCCCCCCCCCCCCTGAAGGAGAAGTCGCTAATGCCATACGAAAGTTGCGCAACAATAAGGCGCCCGGAGAAGACGGTATACCCGCTGAAATCTTCAAGTCTTGTGTCGACACTCTGGCGCCCTGGCTCCATGGGGTGATTGAACGAGCGTGGAGAGACGAGGTTGTTCCTGATGACTGGGGCTTAGGCATTCTTGTACCTATCCTCAAGAAGGGAGATAAGACGAGATGCGAGAATTACCGCGGCATAAGTCTCGTCGACGTTGCAACGAAGATTTTCGCTATTGTCCTACTCAGGCGATTCCAGGCTGTGCATGACTCAAGGACGAACCCAGCCAAGCCGGATTTCGTGCTGGACGAGGATGCGCAGATCAGATATTTACAGTGAAGCGCATTCTCGAATTTCGCCATAGCTACCAACAGCCGACGGCTATTGCTTCATTGACTTTGCCGCCGCGTTCGATTCCGTTCACCGTGAGTCCCTGTGGCGGATAACGGCGTTAGATGTTGTACCGGCAAAAATCATCGCCATGATCAAGGCCTATTATCGCTCCACTACTGCGAAGGTCCTGGCCCGCAACAATCTTTCCCAACCGTTCGGTATTCGGTCTGGGTTGTATCCTGTCACCCATACTGTTCAACTATGATATTGATTGGATCATCGGGAGGGTCCTACGCGAGAGTGACGGCGTTGAGTTTGCAACCGGACACCGACTGACTGATCTCGATCATGTCGATGTTTATCGCCTTACTTGCTTCAAGTTTTGGTGATCTGCAGTCTATGGTGTCACGGGTGAACGAGGTCGCCAAATCGGTCGGTTTATCCATAAACGCTGGGAAAACCAAAGTGTTTTCAAGATGCATCCCTGACCAGTAGGAGGCATCCCTAGGGATTGATGGCTGTCAACTTGAAGAAGTAGACAGTTTTAAATACCTCGGGACATCATCGAGGCCGGCTAGATCAGACATGATCGCAGCCGTATCAAGTACAAGTACGCCCACCCCGAGGGAAAGCAGCAATCAAGAGGCCGCAACCGGTACCTCTTTGGTACAAGCCGTCGCATTCCACTTCTAGGATTGCTGTTATTTTAACTATCGTTAGGGGACGACTTTGGAAAAATTTGCTTCACATCCGTCCGCACGAGGAATCTGCGGGATGGGGGACTGTCAACCCTTTAGTTGACTGATGTGCTGCAGTGTGGGGTTGCTGTTAGGGTCCAGTTTCCTCAAAGTTTTGACATTTTTTTCTGGGCGTCATATTTTGCGGCCTCGAACATCTACAGTGGCCCACCAATAATGAATCGATTCGCTATTTCAGCGTCCATTTTGGGTCAATCGAGTTAAGTATTTCCTTGGCATGTTCACCCCGGTTTGTTTTGATTACTGTTGATTTGTCGCCGATGCAGCCAGCTCCTTATTTCGGTCTATACTTGACAAGGACGAAGCTGCAATGCAACCACTGCATTCATCCCGCATAGAAACGAACCAATTTGAGGGAATTTCATTTACATAAATATTTACTCGGGGCGAGATTTAGTCTTATGAAAATGCTTTTAAAGCGCGGTTATCTGTTCAGACCGTGAGCTATTAACTGTCGTCGTATCATGGTACGTCAAATGGTACCACTGATTAATTTGACTCGTGTTTAAGGCTTTTCGCAGAGAATACCGTTGTTGGTCAGTTCACAGCTAGAAAGTTAACAGGGTCAAGCATTTCCTTTCAATCCCTTCCCCAGGGTTTAAGGCCGCGGGTCGATTGACTTGTATGAATCATCTGACTTGTGGCGTGCCCCGGCGGAGTCAGTGGGTCTTACAGAAAACCAGTTTTTCTGGGAAATTGCTCCGCTGACCTCGTCGACTTGCTTGGATAACTGCATTTCATCATTTATTATCAAAACAAGGTCTGAGGACTATTCTTGCTATCGGACTATCGAGGTGCAATGTAAAAAGGTCCTTTCGAGCAACATAAGTCGTGACTTCTTTGTCTGTTGTGGATTAGGCGTGCTTGCTTCATCTCTTTACTGTGGGTTCCTGTGTGTTTAGTTTCCCGATTAGCGATCATGTTTGGCGTTGGGTCTGATCTTTGAGCTCTCTTCATGCTTCTGTTTGTTGTAGTACATAGGCACCATCTTTTGTGCTGCAAATGGTTTCAAATTCGAGACCGCCGCTAGTGTGTCCCTGAGAGTTCTGGGACTTATGAACTGGAATTTCGAACGCACCGACCACCTTGTCTGGTCTTTAGTTAGTCATATTGGTAGATAATTTTGTGCGCCCTTTGGTCGGCAACGGTATGGAGAAGGACCCCACTTTACTGACCGCAGACTGTGAATCACGTCATATAGGCTTTTATCTTGGCACCCATTCGCAGGTCTTCGCAGCTGCGAAGACATTCTGCTGCTAATAACAATCACCTCCCATGACTTCAAACCATCATTCAAACTCCTTTATTTTTCGAGATTTGCTTTTTGTTTATTTTCAGTTACCGCGCTCATTTCCGTTGTCGTACGAAAACGTACGATGAGTCTTTCAGGAGAAATCCAAACAATTTCTGTTTTCCTGCTTTTCGTCAGCTTACTGTCTAGTGCGCTGCCCCATTCGTAAAACTCCCCGTATCACCAATCACGTATGACACGATCCACGGTCTACCAACAGTAGAGTGGGGTCCTCTTCCATATCCTTGCCGACTGGTCTTCCAGGCATGCTTAAGACTCGTCTTTTATTTCGTTCAATCTTATCTAATGGCCGTTACTAAATATTAATGGTGTGATTTATTCCTCTCTCATGCCATAGCATTATTCACCGAAAACCACGAGCGAGCACTAGTCATTATTGCTGTGATAGCACGTCTGAGGTCTCCTCGCTAGTGCCGAATCAATAAGGCTTTGCAGGTGCCGCTTATGGATCGAAATGCAGTTGACGCACTATTGCTGGAGTGCAGCTGAGCACTGATTGATGCCCTCAAAAATACTTGTTTATCCTAACAACTCGCAAGGCGGAGCACTGAGGACTCGTAAACGATGCCCATTTAGGCGAAGATAAGAGTTATAATCCGAGGAGAAATATATAATTTGAAGAGCTCTACTGGCTGTTTAACGTATTAAACAACCTCCCATTGTACGAAATCGTAATCGAAATGTTACAGGATGGTCGGGCTACGTTTATTCATCCTGACATTTCGCATTGTTGAACTTGTTGTCTATTTTCGCAAACTAGGAACGCAGAATTAGTCTTTTGTAGAACAGTTCGAGTCTACCATAGTAATTGCTGGGCAATATTTGCGTCGCCCCAAAGGTTGATCATCGGGACTGTTATGAACCGGCCTCGTGCTTAGAATTCCCGTGAAGCGTATGCGCACCCGACTCTTGTCCCCAATACCAACTCGGCAGAGAAGGAGAACGAGATCGGTCACGAAAAAGTGTATTAGGAAACTGCAAGTCAAGTCAAGCTTGAGAATACGCACGTGGCCTCCATTGATTGGCTGGCTCTTGTTTTGGGGAGTGTAGATACTCCCAACAGGGACCTCACCAGCCCCGTAACTGATGCTGTACCTACAGTAGTGGTCTGACCGCAATGATCTCAGTCACTTCAGCCTTGGGCGACCGCACGTGCGGGAGTGGCGCCTAGGCAGTTCCGCAGCTGTCGCGTGTCGACGACCGTTCTTGATTTTATTGCTGATGTTTGCGCTTGCCAAATCCGTTCACTGAGGCTTGGCTGTTTGAGTCCGTCTACACGACAGATTAAATGCCGAGACCAGCCATTTTCAGAAGTTGCTGAAGAATTTTGATGGCCTTGAAGTGTCTAACTCAGGAATTCGACCGATGCTTGACAAAATCCTATAGGCGTGCTACTGATCAAGCGACCTAGACGCAAAAAGACGGAAGTTCCACAGCCACAAAGGGCGAATTTCATCCGCCTCACATTCATAAATGCTAGCCACGACGATGGATGAAGGGTTGCTTTCCACACACTAAAACGGGATATGCGTAAGCAAGCCACAACCCTTCTCTCAGGTTATTTGCCAATCACATTTTCTGTCCACATAGGTAGGCAATTTGGCTGGCACGTCGATGCATGGCATTCCGACTGTCAACACTTTAGTGAACACCCATGCAAGCAGCATGGCCCCCATTAATTAATCACCACTGTAGGCTGTTTGTACTACTAGTAGATTTGCCGTCATTAAAACGACTCATGTTTGGTACACTAAAGGAGTGCGGAACGCAGTCGGCTTGAGCATCCAATTCACAAGTGGTATGAAAACAAACGACTTGAATACTCTGACATCCACGTGTACCCTTGTGCAATTGGGAAACCACGAAATGTGGGGTTCACAAACTCCTCCAGCAGTGCACAAGCCAACAAAGTGACTGAACACCTCGACTTCCTAGACCCTTCAGGGAAGACGGGCGCTTAAGGAATGCTGCCCGGCAAGGCAGTCCGAGACCGATAGCCAAAAAACTGCGAGCCAACAGTTGGAAGTGGTCGTGGCTGTCCTTCGATGGCTACGGCCCCTCAGGGTAGGACGGTGAGACGCAACCTACGGCCTGACTGTTGTCTGATTAATTACAGACAGCCGAGTATTGCAGCCTAATGCTGAGATCATAACTTTATTAACCCGATATCTACGATTATAATTGGAACCCCACCCGAAAACGTATGAATATTGGGAGATAAACAGGTCCACGTGCCACATTTTTCCCCACAGCGGCTGCTTACAAAGCCTTACGTAATAATGACTGCAACCACATCGGCGAAACAGGCGAACGTTGCAGATACGGCTGCACAAAAGGATGCCGGAGGCTGGATCTCAATTCGGTTTCCGAGAAGCAACCATTGAAGGCGTAGACCGTGGTTACACCTCCACCGGGAATGGAAAGGGGACTAAGATGTCAATTCTGTCCTCCAGCGCATCGACCTCCCCCGATCTTACCAGTTCTTAATCCATTTTCTCCACGGTAGGCATAAAGATATCAAAGATGGATTCGAACGGGGGCGACTTGAAAATCGACTTATCCGACAAGCTAACTCGTTACCCAGCAGGTTCAACTACACTCCATTGACGTGACTACTAACCATACACGACGACCACCGACATTTCGACCGTCGCCTCCGACGATGTCCACCGTGTGCTCGGCAGCAAGATTAAGTGGGCACGATGATTTGTGCGTGAATTAATTTGTAGGGAATGTAGGCTTGCGCAGCGACTATCGCACTCTCTAATTCTCCCCCACTCGGGCTTAAAGACAACACGGGGTCAAGAAGAGGCGGAGGAGCGCGCAGATGGATGGCACGGTCGAGCTCGCACCTTGGCGATCCACTCCACACCTCCTGGTCCACACAGCAAATGACCAGAAATTTAGCCAACAGCAACAGTGGGGAGGGCGGCAGG